ATGCCAGCTCTGCAGAGTCTCAATAATGATAATGTTTCAATCACTGTCGAGTGCGGTGCAGCTCACTCCATTTGGAACATCTCACTTAATGGCCTAACAGAACTCCTAAATAAGCATCATTACCCTCATCTTACACACCTTGCACTAACACAGACAACAACACAGCTCCAAATACCAGCCAAGGCAGTCCATTAAAAATGAACAAGTATTAAAATACAATGAGTGCTTCATATAGTATCTAATTTAAGCCCTGTGAGATTAAAAGCAATCATATCTATTTTAGAAAAGAAACTGTGTACCCTGCCCAGGGCCACACAGTTAATAAAGGATAAAGGTTGGGATTCCGTTCGTATTCCAGATCTTGTAGATTCCAATGGTTTTTGTTTTTCTCTAACTCCTTCCTTCCCTCCCAGCCTTAGTATTCAACCTCCTTCTTTTCACAAACCTAATATTCTCCAATCTTTCATTCATCTTGCTTGTTAACCCTTCCAGACCAAAACCCAACTCACCGCCGTTGAATCGATTCCCACGCATACTGACCTTCTAGAATTGCCCTAGGGGTTTCCAAAACTGCACCTCCACGGGAGTAGGAAGCCTTGGTCATCTTTCTGCTGTGGAGCCGCTGGTGGTTTCAAACTGCTGGCCTTGTGTTAGCAACCCAACACTTAACCACTATGCCATCAGGGCTCCCACTGGCAGGCCTTTAGTCAAAGTATAAAGGATTCATTCTCTTTGTGGGACTTCCCTGGATGATTCAACTGTAGAGTTGGAATTTTTCAAATGACTTTAGCATCCTAGAGATAAAATCTTTCACAGGCTTGTTCAGCCCTACTTATTTATCGATTGTTCCATCATTGCTGGAGGGGAAAGAAAGAGCCCCAAGTCATCACATGAGTGTACCGAGTAGGGTGAGCTTTTCTTGCACCTTTTTGCCATTTAGCCTTGGTGTCTGTTGACTCACCACGAGTCGGAATCCACTAGATGGCAGTGACTTTGGTTTGGTTTGATTTCTTGACTCTAAGGATCCCTGGTGGCCAACAGCAAGGCCGGCATTTAAATTCCATCCGTGACCCTCAGAAGAAAGACAGGGCTTTCTGCTCCTGGAGAGATTTACAGGCTCAGACACCACAGGGAGAAGTTCCACTCTGTCCTGTCCCAACAAATCACTACAGGTCAATCAACTCCGTGACAGTGACCTTTTATTATTTTTCCTTTTGTTGACTCTCATCTGTCAGAGCAAATTATCTTCCATGACCTGAACTGGGAGCTATTTGGAACCTTGAGTCTCTTCGTGCACTGTTCACCAAGCAAGGCTCCAGCACGGGACTCGCATTTATAGGACGAACCCACCAGGCAGTGCCTGCCTTTGTAAACTGGTTTCTCATGGGCCTGGGAAAGCATGAGGGTATTTCAAAGGGTTCATGGGAAATTTTTATGATCCGTTTATTCCATGTTCCCACAAACTTTTTGAATCCCTCCTCCCCAATGTAATCATTAAGAATCAGTTCCCCCAACCATGGGACTGTCAGAGCTCCCCAGAGAGCGAGAGAGAGAGGTGCCCATGGCCTCAGAGCGCACCAACTGGTTCCAGAGAAGAGCGGCTATATGGGGATCCTCAAGTACATACACTGATTTGCATGAAAAAAAAAGCTGTAATGGAGTACTTCAGACTGAGCTTGGCATGCAACCCATGGGAAAGCCTGGCACCTCCAAGCATGAGTGGGAAGGAAGGAGGGTGTGATTGAAACTCCCCTGGTGGATGGGGGCAAGGTAGGTAGCCTTGGGGCCTCAGATCTCCCATCCCTTTCAAAGTCTGAAAACCGCTGACAACAACCGGTGGCCTCCAACCCTCGGAGCTCACGGGGCTTTGTTCCGAAGCTGCCCGAGGTCTTGTGGGCTCTCAGACCTGTGTCCAAGCAGGAGCAACGCAGACAAATAGGTGCCTGTAGACGAATACCTTTGGGGGTTTCTCTGTACCTCCCCTTCCAACACCCAAGAACATGTCTCTAAGAGGCTTTAAGTTCTGACTCAAGTCCATTACTCTCTTGATTTTATTTTTATTAACATCATGATTACCTTTAATTATCAGTATCTTTATAAATTTGATCTTTGAACATCTGTGAGTGAACACCTGCGAATGATAACAGCAGGTTACACACCGCAACACTGTCTGCAGCACACATTAGGAACGATGAGGCAGACCCCATTGTGTCTCTGCACTCTCCATCATGAACGAGCACATACACCCTTCATCGGAAGCGATGTGTAAATACACACATCAACTGCGGATTGCTTTTGAAAAGGAAAAAAAATACATCCCTTCGTTCTGCTTTTGGGCAACGCTCAATGGCGCCATGTTGATGGAGGAAAAGCAAAGCTAAAGACGCAGCCTTCTGTCCTGTTTTCCAGGTTTTACATCGAGAGCATATCGTTTTTAAAGGACAAAACGACCGTGGAGCTGTTTTTCCTGAACGCAAAGTCCTGTGTGCACCAGGTAAGGCGCTGGGTGGTACCTTCTGTCAATAAGGCAAGCTGCAGTTGAAGCAAGTCTTGCCTGTGTTTTCAAGCCAATGGAAACAGACCATAACTGTTTCTAGCAATAGCTTTTGTCCTCCAAAGAAACTTTAAAATGGCACCTCTTCTCAAATTCTGAGCGGTCTGCACATTATTCGTTTAAAGGCATCCAGTCCACCACGTGTGATGACTCAGAAAGACGCAGCATGTGACCGGAGCCTCAGAAAAAGTCAGACCAGTAATGGCTTTTAACAAGGTCTGCCTTGCCTTTCCCCAAGGCCAGTGTTCATAATTCAAAGCCAGTCTTATGGAAGTCCAGTGCTTTTGATCCTGCACCTTGGAGTCACCTTACCTCCCTTACCTCACTATGAGTGGATGTCCACACACAGTGACCCTAGAGGACAGAGTAGAACTGTTTCCAAGGCTGTATATCTCTGTGGAAGCCGAACGCCTCGTTTTTCTCCCGAGAAGCCCCTAGTGGTTTTAAACTGCTGACCTTGTAGTTAGCAACCCAATACATACCCCACTGAACGACTAGGGCTCCGCAGCCTCGTTTCCCCTCCTTCTCGTCTTTACCTGTGGGCGTGCTCTTCGGTAGTTGATTGTAAATTGATCATTCTGCACACACTCACTGCCACGGAGTCGATTCTGATGCAAACTCGTGGGAGACATTATTTCTTTTCTAAGCCAATTTGGCCAGAAGGTGACCTCCAGAAACAGCTTCAATTCCAAGTTTAAAGGATATAAAATAGGCTTGAAGGCTATAAAATTGTTTCAGAGGGTTCTCTAGTATCTCCCAGTCCAAGTAAGTCTGACCTTTCCTAGGAAATTGAATTTTATTCTACATTTCCCCCTGCAATCCAGGACCTTCTATGATGTCGCTGGTCAGAATGATCAGCAGTGGGAACCAGGCACCGACTAGTCCTCCTGGTCCAAGTAGGGACCTTTTTCAGGCATTGTTTCTCCAGATGTGTCATCTGCCCCCATCCCTGGCTCTTTTACCGACGCTGTTTCCCAAGTATCTGGTCACCTGAAGGTTTCCAGAGCTCAGGCTGCTCTTCCTTTCTGCTTCTTTCGTTCTTTTGTTTTATCTTTGACGGTCACTGTGGCTAAGGCTGCAAATTCATTGTTTTCCTTCGCAGTCTGCTGTCATTAATCCCGTCCTGTACGCTGTAGTTCTTACCTCTAGGAGCTTGATTTGGGTCTTTTTAAAAATATCTTACCTGTGACTATTTAATTTTTGAACCTAGAAATACAGCCGATACAGCAGTAATAACTATTTTAATAATGTCCTGGTTCTAATAGCTGTGTCAGTGAGGACCGGTTGACTTTTCTCCATAGATAACTCATGTTTTTCCCATTGGTGCCTGCCTAGAAATATGTGTTTGGATGCCAGATATTGATAGCTTACCTCTTGGGGTGTTGTATACTTGGGTCTCCATCTACATAATCTTGTACTGTGTTCTGGGGTGCAGTTTAGTTACTTGGAAACAGTTCGACTTTTTCGAACTCTTGTGTTGGTGATGTGTTAGGCAGACTCAGATGGTTGTTCATTCTAAAGCAAATTCGTCCTCATTCCTGAGACCAGACCTTCCTGAGCAGGCCATTCAATGCCCGTTTCCAGCCCTGTGGAAGCAGTGAGCAACCTTCTCTCTCATTCTTTGGGCTAGTCTCTCCTCTATCTTGGGTAGTCTCCTCCCTCACATATAATGATCAATACCCTGCTGAAGACTCAAGGGAGTTGAGGTGCCCCCTTGACTCCTCAGTAAGACTCTTCTCTCAGGGCAGTTCCTTCCTCTCCAGCTCTCTGTTCTCTAAATTCTATCCAATTTGGTCTCCTCCCGCTTCTCAACACAGAGAGTCATCTGTGCTGCCCTCCCTGTAGCACACCTTTCTGAGGGGCAGGGGTAACCCTCTGCCGGCAGCAAGTGAGGGTGGATATAGAGCTCACTCAAGCCAGGTTCACTCTCCCTCATTGCTTGTCAGTCAGTGATTTGAAAGTTATTGTTTTAGGTAAATGTGGAGGTTTGCTTGTTTGTTTTTGTTTTCTAAGTTGCTTCATATAGTCAGGTAAATCTAATCCCTGTTGTTCCATCTCGGCAAGAAGCAGGGATAGTTATACCAGAGTTTTTTGCTAGGTCTTTAGGAAAAATACAACAGCCCCAGTATCAAAGACTAGATTATAGTTTCTCTTCTCTAAGAGGTGGGTTTCCCTATGAACTCCAAGGGATGACTGTGGAGGAGACGCTTCTATGGCAAATTCAGTCTTTATTGGGGCAGGAAGTCATTCCACAAACCACAGTTGGCCATCAGCCTCTATGGAGAAGTATAATTAACCAGTGTGATATTTTTCCCTGCCTTGCTGGCCATGATCCAAAGAAAGACTCATTGATTTCTTATTTGCTCTGTTGCTAATGCAAAGATAGATAGGCTGCAAACTTGATCTCGTGATATTTCTGTAGTAGCTTTGTATGCTAAATTCTGTTGGACTTGAGAAAGTAAGAAAAAACAGCCTTTTTCTCCCCCTTTTAAACTCTACTCTATCTTATGAATATTGGTCCCTGGGAGCTCTTTTTGAAATGGGCACGTTGTGTAGCTTGCCAAGGAATTTAGAACTTACTTTTGTAAAATCTAAAACTGTAACAGTTGAGAGTTTTTTTCTTAATGCAGTTGTAAGAATCTAGTGTTGAGGATTTTCTGTCTGAGCCATGTGAGTGACAGGCAGCACGCGATCCCAAAGATGTTATGGGGTCAGACAGACGATGCCATCGCAACTGGGTCAGGGAAAGCAGCGTGCAAGGTTTGGGGTTGGTGGATTAATTAAACTTTTTATTGTGTTAAGTGAAAATTTGTGGATTCAAGTTGTTTTCTTTTTTGTTGTTAAGGTCAACATGTTAAAAAATCATTTTATCGGGGGCTCGTACAACTCTTTTCACAATCCATACATACATCCATTGTGTGAAGCACATTTGTGTATTTGTTGCCATCATCATTTTCAAAGCATTTTCTTTCTACGTGAGCTCTTGGTATCGGCTCCTCATTTTTTTCCCAACCCTCCCTCCCTCATGAACCCTTGATAATTTATAATTTTTTTTCATGTCTTACACTGACCGATGTCTCCCTTCACCCACTTTTCTGTTGTCTGTCCCCCTGGGAAGGGGTTATATGTAGAACATTGTGATTGGCTCCCCCTTTCTCCTCCCACCTTTCCCTTACCCTCCTGGAATCGCTACTCTCGTCACTGGTCCTGGGGCTTTTATCTGTCCTGGATTCCCTGTTTCCAGCTCTTATCTGTACCCGTGTACAAACTTATTTTCTTCAGGTGCATGGTTTAGTGGAGAATTCTCACCTTCCACAGGCCTAGCTGAGGTTCAGTTCCTGCCTCTCAGGTGCAGTTGCCACCGGCCTGTCAGGGGAGGTCTCTGTGTTAGGGTATCGAACAGGTTTCTGTGGCTTAGGGTGGCCTAGGATGACAGATCTGCTTCTCTAATTCTGAAAATCGCCCACTGAAACCCCTATGAATGGCAGTGTCCCTAGCTGCAATTAACCATCAGTGTGGTAGCGGACTGACTGCCTTTTGTTTTGTTACATAAACGTGGCATGAGGGCTGTGTCTGACTGATTCTAACTTCTCAAAGGCGAGCAGAAGAGCCAGCATCAGGTCAGGCCTGCCTGTCCCTTCCAGCCACTTACCAGTGCTGACGTCAGCCGTCCCTCCCGTGTTCCTCTTATATCTCTGCTGAGTTCAATACTATGTTGCAATGGCCACTCAGAACTCACTGACCATACTTGTTAAATGGAGTAAACTGTTTACCATTCAGGATCAAGAACGCTCAGGATGCAAATGTTTGACCAGAACGGTCTCTTCTTAGCACTGCAGAAGGGCCCTGGCCTGACCCCTGCATTCCTCTGATGCTTTGGGTTCTGCCGATTGTGTCCCCAGAGGCACCCCACTCCACCAGTCAGCCTAGATGCAAAGCTCATCTGCTCTCGCTCTGGGGGTCCACAAACTTAGCTCTCCAGACAGATATGGGAGTGGGGGCGGGAACACCCACTCTGCCAGCGTTACACAGCTCTTTTAACGCTGTCAGTGCCCACTAGAGTACACCACTCTGCCAACAGCCGTCCTTCCTGAAGGCACTCAGCTTTCGTGCTCCTTGGGTTGAGAAGCCCACCGTCTGTCTCCTGATGGTCTCCTAGTTCCACTGTCTCCGTTGCCGCTGCTTCTCAACCTGTTTCTCGCTCACTCTTGTCTGTGACACCACAAAACCATTCTTGGCTCTGCTTTCTTGATGGCTCTGAGATTCCCTTTTTCCCCCCTGTGAAGGTTCATTTGGAGCCTCATTAGATGACAAAACTAACCCATCTCATAAGGGTTCCATACCCCCTTATTTGCATAGTCCTACCCCACAAGGCTGCTGTGAGCCTTATTTGCATTATTAGTAAGCTACTCAATTCCCTCACTGGACCACAAACATCTCACGTTTGCCTAGTCCTCTGCAGTCATTGGCTGGTGGTATACTGGGTTGTGCATGGGGCTGCAAACCACAAGGTCCGCGATTTGAATCCACCAGTGACTCCTGGGGAGGAAAATGAGGCTATCTCTTCTAATAAAGACTGACAGCCCTGGGATCACTAGGGAATGGTTTTGCTCTTACCTATAGGATCTCTGTGAGTCAGAATTGATTGAATGACAGCTACAAAACTGGTGAACATTACAAAAACTTTAACTGGATGGGCCATGTTGAATAACATCCACTGACATCAGCAACATGGTCATTTAAGAACATTGCATCTAAGGACTCATCGAAACCACCACCATAAGAGTAAATACGTTTTATGAGAACAGGTAGGCCCAGCTGTAGAACACGCGTAGGTGTGTTATTGATTGGCACAAGTGAGTCACTGGTTGTGGGTAGCTACAATTAATGTAGGGCTCACTGTTAGATCTGAAAGTATCTCTCGGTGCTCAGAAGACAGT